ACTACCTACTAGCATGTGAGTGAAAAGCAAGAGTTGGAGTAGACCAAATCACAAATTTTGAGCAAGAGATCATCCATGGAAGAATCGGAGCACTACCTACTAGCATGTGAGTGAAAAGCAAGAGATGGAGTAGACCAACTAGGAAGAAGAAGAGGAAGAAGAAAAAAAAGGAGATGAAGAAGAAGAATAAGAAGGAGAAAGGGAAGAAGGAGGGTAAGGGGAGGAGGAGAAGAGGGAGGAGAAGAAGGAGATGAAGAAGGATAAGAAGAATGAAGAAGCGAAAGAAGAAGGAGAAGAAGAAGAGGACGGGAGGAAGAAGAAGAAGAAGAAGAAGAAGAAGAAGAAGAAGCATCTTCTTCCTTCCACTCACCTTGTTGATGTCTTGGGGATGGAGTCTCAACCTTGATGAGGCTTCTTCCTCCTTGCACAAATACTTCTTTGGCTATGGCTTCCTCCTTCCTCAAGCCTCTTTCTCCTCTCCCTTCTACCCAAGCTATGGCAGCTCCTCCCACTATGGCTATGGAGTCCTCCCCTCTAGGAGGCTAATGGGACTCCCTCTAGCCTCTCTCTCTTCCTCACACCCTGGGGGGCTATGGCGGATCACCTCCCTAGTGCTAGTCTTACTTCCACCAATCCTCTAGAGCCCTCTTTCCTTGCTCCCAAAAATGGCATGGGTCCCCCTCTCCTCTCTCCAAGTGAAAGAGTGCTCCTATGAGCTCACTTGGGCAACATGGGCACTCCTCATGCAATTGTGAAAGTGGCGGACTGAATTCCCAGCTTATGTAGGCTGAAAACAGCAGTCCGGCCAGCCCATGGACCTCCGCATGTGGCTTGAGGTGAACCGAGGTACCCCCAAGGCAGAATTCCCCCACGAGGCCTTTCCGGAGGTACCGTTTTTTTTTTTTGGCCAAGTACATGCAGTCCGAGTGGTTGGTACCAACTCGGATTGCCTCTTGGCCTCCTTCAGCCTCCTTTTCACTTCCCAAATGCTGCCCCCTTTGGTCCTAATGCCCAAGGGGCAGTTTTACTTTAGAGAAAAAGGCCTAGTGGGCCTTTTTCTCAATTTTTTTCAGTTTCTACCCCATTTTGGGTAGGCCGAGATATTGTCCCATGTAGCGGTGCATTTTCAGCCTTGGATCTGCCTGAGATCCAAGACCAGCAATATTCCGTGCCTCCCTCATGTAGCCCTTGCTTCAAATTTGTACCCACTTTTTCAATTTTTGGTGCATCTGGCTCTCTTTTTGGGCCAAATGCACAATTTTGTCTCTTTCCCCTTTTTGTTTCTTTCCATTTTGGGCTGCCACCATTCGGAGCTAGCCGTTTTGAGCTGGCCTATAAAAAACGGCTAGTTCCTCTTAACCATGAGTTCTGATCTCAGATCTATGGCCCACAAAAAAATCGGTCATCCCCCTTTTATATTTTCCTTTATTTTTATTTTTTTTAATTCAGATTTTGTGAAGATATGGTCCCAAGGGCCATATCTTTGCAATTCGGATTGCCCTCCCTCATTCTAGGAGGGATGAGGTCACACTTGGGACCTGCCAGTCCCTACTGTGTAGGTCCCAATAGGTCGGCACATTCTCCTCCACTCTTTTCTCCCCTTTTGTCTCATTTTCCCTCCATTTTTTTTTTATTTTTTTTATTTTTTTTATTTCAGTTGTGACAAGTGTCAAACTGCTGTGCACCCTCTTTCTAGGCCTTGGGACCTCATTCATGGCCAGATTCATGGCCGGTACTTGGCCGTTATATTTAGGATTACAATAATGGTAGGGGGTTCCATTTTTGCCTCCGTTAGTCCAATTTTGAGCCCCTTTTGCTCCGATTTTCTTCGGACAGGCTTTTTCTCATGTTGAGCCTCTTGAGGCTCTATTTTCTCATGCCGAGCCAGTCCAAGATATCTCGGACTGCTGGGTAGCCCTCCCAACACCACTATTTCACTCTCTTTTCTCTCGTGACTCTCCCACTTGCCCCCACAAGCACTAGTGGTGCTAGTATTTTCCACCGTTTAGTTGTGTCGTTTGCTTGCGCAATTATTTCTTGTGTTGGCTCATGGTTCCTTTGGGACATCTCAAGTCCCCGCCACTTTCCTCCGTACTAGTTCCATTTTCTTGCCCCGCTGGTAGTCCCGCCGGCGCGTGTCTCGTTTTTCAACTTTTATTATTTGGGCCCACTTGGTCTCCGACAACATCCCGAACGGTGTTCCATTTTTTTTATTTTTGGACCCCTTTGCCCTTGGTGGTCCCAACATCTCTCCCTTAGGTGCCACATGTGTGGCGATTTTTCTAGGCTGTGAGATCTCATCTCACGGTTGCCGTTCACCGTCTCCACTTGCCTCATGCCGAAATTGCTCCTTTCTAGCCTTTTGGGCTTGTCGTGGCTCATTTTCCCTTAGCCTAGGCATCCCAATGCAGGCCGTTATTTCTCGGACTGCAAATATGGTAATTTTCCTAGTCCCACAGCTCCACAACTTGCCCCATGGTAAAAGAAAATGAAGTGTTTAACTTCTAAGTGCATCCGGGCTCAATATTGGCTCTGGATGCACCTAGAACATGTGTTTTCCCTTCGCCATGCAGTCCGTTGTAACTCGGACTTACAACGGACTGCAATAGGGGTCAATTCCCTAGCCCCAATGCCCCACAACTAGCCCCTAAGAAAAAGAAACGACAAACTTCTAAGTGCATCCAGACTCCATTTTGGCTCTAGATGCACCTAAAACATGTGTTTCTCCTCCCCTATGTAATCCGTTTTATTTTGGTTGCATGGGGTCTTGATTTTCTTTGATTTTCTTTGCAAAATCAAAGGAAAATCAATGTCCTTTGCAACCACCATATTCCAGAATGAATCTGGTTACGGATGTATCTCTCCAAGTGACCGTTTTTTACCGTTAAGGCCTTTTTCTCTTTTTTTTTTTTTTTTTTTTTTTTTTTTTTTTTTTTTCTTCTTTTCTTGAACAGTAGGGACCTGCGAGTCCCTACTTGTGGCAGTCCCTACTGACGACCAACTCACTCACTCCCTCTCACTCTTTTTGTTTTATTCTTCCACATTTTATTTTATTTTCTTTCCTTTTTTTAGCATGCCAAGTGTCAAGTGGCTGTTAAGGCCCTTTTCTAGCCCCTTCCTCTTAGTTTTGGCCCTTCCTATGCCCAGGGTGCAGTCCGTTATTTCTTGGACTGCAATAATGGCCTTCTCATGCCCGTGGGAACTCCCTCTTTCCTTTATTTTTCTCCCATAGTGGCCCCTCCTACTCTGATTTTCTCCCAGAGGCCTATTTTTCTCATGGGGTCTCTTTTGACTCCATTTTCTTGAGGGAGGCTGATCCGAGATTTTTCGGATTGCTCCCATGCCTCCCACTTTAAGTTTCTTTACTTTTTCTTTTCCTTTTGGCCTTCCCGTTTGCTACCGCTATATTTTTTGCCGTCAAGATCTCGATCTTGATGGTGCACCTTGTCTTAATTATTTTTCCCTCATGCGGTGCCGCCGTTTCCTCTTGAGACCTTCATACGTCCACGCCACTTGTCCCGTTGGTGGTCCCCGACACTTAGTCCCGCCGGTGGTCCCCGACACTTAGTCCTACCGGTGGTCCCCAATACTTAGTCCCACCGGTGGTCCTCAGCACTTAGTCCCGCCGGTGGTCCCTGCCGTATTTTTCCCGGATACCATTATTTTTACTTAGTCCCGTGTGGTCCCTGGTGTCTTTCCCTAGGGTGTCCCATGTTCTTTGGGCGTCCACCGCCCTGTGGTGACCCCTCTCTCTTGCTTTTTCTTGGGCCTTGCGTGCGCTATTTTTCTCCGGTCGTGGGGCCTCCATCCCGCGGCTCCCGTTAATTGTCATAGGTGGCCCCCATGTCGGGCCCTTATTCTTTAGCGTCCCACGGCCCCCGGGGCGTCCACCTCGCGACTTCCTCATTCTTTTGTCGCTGCCGTGCCGTGTTCGCCGGGTCAATGGCCCCTTGGCCTTAGTCTTGCCGAATTTCGATGGCCCTCCTGGCCTCATGCTACGATCCATGTGCCCTTGTCCTTGCGCTTACTTGCTTGGCGCTGGTTCTTTCCCCGACGGTTCCCAACCCCGGGCACCGTTCCTCTGACGGCCTAGTCCCTTGTCTTTTCTCTCTCTTGTTTCCTTACTCCGGGTTTCTCTGTCGTGCACAAATTGGCTATATACAGGCTCTCGAGTGATGGGATGTTATTCGGGACCCACCAGTCCCGACATCGGGCTCAATAAAAAAAAAAAAAGAAGGGAAAGTCTGCAAACAAGTGCGCTTGTGCGCGCGCATGCTTGTGTGTGTGTGTGTGTGTGTGTGTGTGTG